TCCTTTTGAGATTTTTGTCTTTAACCCATGTGTTACTTAGAAGTGTTTTGTTTAATCTTAAAATATATTAATATTCTCCAACTTTCAGTTTGTCATTTCTAGCTCAGTTCTCTTGTGGTCTAAGAACAATTGTTGCAACATTTCTGTGCTGAATTTGCTAAATTCTGTGTTTTATGTCCCACCACGTGGTTCAACTCTGTGAATGTTCCATAGGAACTTGAGGTTACTTATTTTTGTGATGTTAGTCTATAGATGCTGGTGATAGGCAGTTATAATTGACAGTGCTGTTACGTTCACTTACACCTCTCTGGTGTTCTGCCTTCTGGGTCTATTTCCACTAGCAGAGGACTGTTCTCTGACTAGACATCCCTCACTAATGCTAGATTCACCCATTTTTACTCAATGTATTTTGACACTTTATTGTTAGATTCATTCAAGGATTAAAGACTTTTTTGTCTTTCTTAAAGAGTTGACTCCTTTGTCAATATTATGACTCTCTTTACCCTTGATAAGTTTCCTTGCTCTAATCAGGCCTGTGGGCTACATAAGGTCTGTGAAGTCATTTGGTAGATGGGACAGACATTTAATGCCTATGGTCTGCCTGTTTTGATAATTTTATATGATGTTATAAGTATCTAAATGTCCCTTGGCAAAAAAAAGTATACCTTCCCTTCCCAAAATTAAGATAGCTCATTTCACTCTCTTCTGATTGCTGTTAGTGTTGTATCTTTTTCTATCTATTTAATCAATGTCTTCATAATTAAAGCAGGTTTCTTGTACACATTTGGTTGATTTTTCTTCTCAATTGTGTCCTTTAACCGGTATATGTAGATCTGTAAAAGTAAAAGCAACAGCCTGTTTTCCCTTACTTCAACACAGATAATGCCTGTGACTTTCTTAAGATGTGAAGATTTCATGTACCATATAAGCAAGCAGTCAATTCTGTGGTAGATACTAGTGGGATGTTCTCTAACTTATTTCCATTCTGACAAGTGGAGATAGCATCAGATATTACAGTTTTGGAAAGAATTTCCTAACTTAAGACCCAGTCATATCCTTGGGTCCCCAGAATTTCTAACTTTTAGGCTGAGATTTGAATTCCTGCAACTCCTCTTTAGGTTTTATTAATGCTATAAGAGCTCACAGAACTCAGTGAAATAAATACTCTACCGTTACAAAGGATATTTTATTTTCATTTTTAATACAATATTATTATTTTAATTAAGGTGTTATTCATGTACAAAGGATATTGTAGAAGATAAAAATAAGTAGCTACCATGAAGAAATACATAGGTGAGGTCTGGAAGTTTGACAAATAAGGGAGCTTCTGTCCTTGTGAAGTTGGGGTACAATACTCTCCGAGCATGGATGAGTCTTTGTTTGTGTTTCTGTCAGCATTAATGTGTCCAGTTATTCAGAAGCTCTTTAAATATAGTACTCTGGGATTTTTATAGAGACTTCATTGTATAAGATTGTCAATGGACTGGGTAGGGATATCTAGCAAAGCCTCTCTGGTTATTTTATTGAGTAATCTAATGTTAGTACTATGAATATAGTACTAATGTTAATCTCAGTGATCTCTTCAAAATAGGAGGGTCATATGGTCTACTATAAATAAAAACAAAGATCTACATATGTAACATAGTATCGTATCACAAGATAGTTTATCTTAGCTGCAGGTAAATATCTATAGCTAGTACATAGAACAAAAAAGGGAAACAAAGCCTATCAATAAAAACAAAGGGAGACAGTAAGAGAGAATAAGGAACAAAATAACTATAAAACAAACACAGAACAACAAAATGACAATAATAAATCATTTCCTGTAAATATTTAAATGTAAAAGAATCTTTGCTCCTCAATCAAAAATAGAGTGGTAAAATGTACTAAAAGGTCCAACTAGCTAGATGTTGTTGGTGCATGCCTGTAATCCTAGCTACTTAGGAATCTGAGATCTGAACATAATAGTTTAAAGACAGTCCAGGGAGAAAAGTCATGAGACTCTTATCTCAAATTAATCATCAAAAACTGGAAGTGGAAGTGTGGGCCAAGTGGTAGAATGCCAGCCTTGAGTCAAAAAATTAAGGGACAGCATCAAACCCTGAGTTTAAGCCCCAGAACCCCCCTCCCCCCACACACACACACAATATCCCACTATATTCTGTCTACCAGAAACTTATGATCGATGATGCACAAACTGTGAAAGTGGTAAAAATGAAGGAATGGAGTTTAATTTGATAAACACCCTTAAATTACCTAAATTTTCTCTTTCATACCAAATATTACTACTTTTTAATTTTTTTCATTTTTACTTGAGTTTCTACTTTACGGTTCAGTTTCTTTTTTTAAAATAAGTTTTTTTATTGTGAAAATACCATACGGAGGGGTTACAATTACATGAGCAAGGTAATGACTACATTTCTTATCAAGCATTGTTGCCTCCTCCTCTTGTTTTTCCCCTACCATCCCTGTACCATCTACACCCCCCACCCCGCCAAAGTTGTAAAGTTCATTTTCGACATAACGTCTTTTACATCTCATTGTTGCAAAGGGTCCACCTGTATCTCTATTTAAACAATTTGTTTTTTCCCTTCCCTCCCAAGTTATACCAACATCAAATACAGTGAAAATAAGGGTTATACGTGTGGGAGAGACATACAAAGCAAAAAAAAAAAAAAATCCCCTTGTAAATAGGTTAGAAACAATAGCAAGAAAGAAAAAAACACTTGTGTCCTTATCTGTTATATATTATGGGAACAAAAATACGGGAACAAAAATGAAAGAAATAGTAATGATAAATGATTAATGCTTCTTTGGTTGCCATTTGTTTTATTAGGAAGACAAATTCCAAATTCTTTTCATGCAGTAATATACACAGAATATTTGAACTTTGGTGGGCTCCATAGTTAATAGGTCTCAGTCATCCTCCCTCACTTTCTTACCATGAAGACTTGAAGATTCAAATTTGTTGTCTCTCAGTTGCTATACATTTTAACTTTTACATATAAGTCTTTTATTGTTACTACTCTAATTTTTAAAATTAGTATATTCTTTTTAGGTTTATAGAAAACTTTTAGGTTTATAGAAAATTAATTGAACAGTACAGTTACTGTCTAGAAACCTCCTCCACATACAATTTAACATATTATTAACTAATCTTACATGAGTGTAGTATATTTATTAAAATGGATAAGCCAATAGTATACTGTTATTAACTAATGTCCACAGTTTCTATTAGGGTTTACTCTGTGTTACACTATTTTCTGGCCTTTGAGAAATGTATAATTCCACATATTCACCTTTACCTTTCCCCTTTGAGATAGGATCTCATTATTCTCCTGCCTCACCTTTCCAGGTGCTGGGATTACTGGTATGCACTGCCATACTCAGCTCTGAAGAAACTCATTGTCAAGTGAAGTAAAAAAATTAATTTAAATGTCACTCATTCTAGATTATTGTAGTGAATCAGAACTCTTAGGAAAAACACTTAAAATCCCTACATACCAGGCTGGGAAGGTGGCTCAGTGGTAGAGTGCTTGCTTTGCATGCCTGAGGCCCTGGGTTCGATTCCTCAGCATCACATAAGCAAAAAGAAAAAAAAAGCCGGAAGTGGCGCTGTAGCTCAAGTGGTAGAGCGCTAGCCTTGAGCTGAAGAGCTGAGGGACAGTACCCAGGCCCAGAGTTCAGGCCCCACGACGGTATCTAAAAAAAAAAAAAAAAAAAAAAATACATACCTTAGGGAATGGGAAATTCTTGTTTTTGTTTTGTGTTGAGAAATTACAATTCTTTTTTTTTTTTTGGGGGGGGGGGGGGTCCGGTCTTGGGGCCTGAACTCTGGGCCTGCGCCCTGTTCCTCAGCTCAAGGCTCAAGGCTAGCGCTCTACCACTTGAGCTACAGCACCACTTCCGGCTTTTTTCTTTTTGCTTATGTGGTGCTGAGGAATCGAACCCAGGGCCTCACGCATGCAAGGCAAGCGCTCTACCACTGAGCCACCTTCCCAGCCCGAGAAATTACAATTCTCATATTAAAAGTTTTCATTAAAAAAATTAGTGGCCACAATAATTATATTTATGAGTTACAGTGATATTTTAATGTGTCATACAATGTATAATGACCAAATAAGGATAATCGGCAGTCACCTTAAATACTTACTGTCATTTATGTTGAGAACACTCAAAGTCTTCTATTTTGACATATGTCATGAGTTACTGTTAAATGTATCATTTTCTTGTGCTACAGAGAATACCAGTGAACACCACGATTCAGTGTTTCTTTCTAACTGCATTTTTGTATCTGATAACCAGCCTATTTCTCTTTATATGTATCTGATAATCAGCCTATATAAACAGGACTTTTTAAATACTCTGAAAATATAACCTTCAATTATTTTAATCATATATTAAAAACAACATATTCTGTTTGTCAATACTAATTCAATTTATATGCTATAACTTTGAAATAATAGACCAAAAATATGATGTAAGGGCTAGAGGCATGACTTAAGTGGTAAAGTGTCTGGCTAGTAAGTGTGAATTCCTGAGTTCAAACTCCAGTACTGCCAAAAAAACACATACATTCATACATATATATTCCATTCAGAAGTAACACATACATACACACACACACACACACACACACACACACACACACACACACACACACACACACACACACATATACATATATATATGTTCTGTTCAGAAGTAACAAATCATTCTTGATGTTTATATATTTAAAATGTATGTATTTGCTTTTTGTCATCTAAACATTTAATAAGCTTTGTTTATGAAAAACTTTGAAATACGAATTTTTAGTAGTTCAGCTATAAAAGCTGCCTTGAAAATATTTTGCATTTATAGGATATCCTTTCTTATAACTTGATTCACTTTGAGTACTTCAAAAGCAGTATGAAAAGTAAAAGTTGGATAACAATAATATGCTTGATTGCATGTGTTCTAATACATGAAGAGTGAGACTCTACTTTTTTCTTCTCTTTCAGTCCCCAAATCTCCAGAGATAGATCCAGTAGATTGTTTGGTGGCTGACAATGCTGTAACAGTTGTTTGGAGAATGCCAGAAGAAGATAATAAAATTGATCATTTCATACTAGAGTATCGGAAAACTAATTTTGATGGACTTCCACGTGTAAAGGATGAACAATGTTGGGAGTTAGTTGATCATATTAAAGGCACTGAATATACATTATCAGGTAAAATGGCAGCATTTCAGAAATCTTAATCTTAGAAATTCTAACTGGAATCATGAAAAGTATTTTTTCCTTTTTTTTCCTTTTTTGCTGGTCTTGAGGCTTGAACTAAGGTCCTAAGCCCTGTTTCTGAGCTTTTGTGCTCAGTGTTCTACCACTCGAGCCTCAGCTCCACTTCTGGCTTTTGTTTGTTTGTTTGTTTGTTTGTTTGTGGTTAAAGAGTCTTATAGACTTTCCTGCTCAGGCTTACTTTGAAGCACAGTCCTCAGAGCTCAGCCTCTGAGTAGCTAGTAATACAAGTATGAGCCACTGGTGATTGGCAATTTTTTACTTTAAAGGATAAAATTATTAATAAAATTAAGTTTTCAAAGCCACACTGGCTTTCCAGATATTTATTATGGAAATAAATTTCTCTTCAAATACAAAGAAAGCTTTTGCTTTAATTACTTGCAGACATGCAGCCTGTTAAAACAGAATGTGTGTGAAGCAAATGTGGAATGATGTTCTGGAAACAATATTTTAGAATACCAATTTTCACTTTGTTTTTCAGACTAAGAAAAAAAAGTTATTAAAGTTTTAAATATACTCAGTACTCCACATTTCACTGGCACTGTTTAACTCCCGTTGCTTTTATTGTTTAAAGAAATGTTAATACTAAAAATAGAGCTGTCACTTTTGTGTTGGTCTTTTTGAAGGCTTTAAAAAAGTATCTCATGGGCTGGGAAAGGTGGGTCAGTGGTAGAGTGCTTGCCTTACATGCATGAGGCCCTGGGTTCAATTCCTCAGCACCACATAAGCAAAAAGAAAAAAGCCAGAGGTGGTACTGTGGCTCAAGTGGTAGAGCGCTAGCCTTGAGCTGAAGAGCTGAGGGACAGCGCCCAGGCCCAGAGTTCAGGCCCCACAACTGGACCCAAAAAAAAGAAAAGAAAAAAGTATCTCAGAGAGGGGGAGGATCAGGTAAGGGGGGGTGGGGGGATAATGGAAAGGGATGGGAAGGGGAAACAAAGGAGGAGGCAACAATGCTTGATAAGAAATGTACTCGTTATCTTGCCCATGTAATTGAAACCCCTCTGTACGTTATTTTCACAATTTAAAAAAAAAGATACTTTCACACACACACAAAAAAAAGTATCTCAGAATATTTGAGGTGACCAGATATTTTCCAGACATCTAGTGACAGGTATGCATCATAGTAACACCAGGAGTTATCCTATGTGTAAACTGCTTATCAGGAGATGGCATTGCCTGTAGTGAACCTTACATAGAGTATACTTCTTTATCTAGTACATCTCATTTAATCTCTACCACAATTATTTATTTGTCTTTTTACTTCTTTTTTTTTTTTTTTTTGGCCAGTCCTGAGGACCTCAGGGCTATTTATTTGTCTTGTCATTTCTTTTTTTTTTGGCCAGTCCTGAGGCTTCAAATCAGGGCCTCAGGGCTATTTATTTGTCTTGTCATTTCTTTTTTTTTTTTTTTTTTGGCCAGTCCTGAGGCTTCAAATCAGGGCCTCAGGGCTATTTATTTGTCTTGTCATTTCTTTTTTTTTTTTGGTCATAGAGCTTGAACTCTGGGCTTGGGTGCTGTCCCTGCGCTCTTCAGCCCAAGGCCAGCACACTACTGCTTGAGCCACAGCACCACTTCTGGTTTTCGAGTGGTTTATTGGAGATGAGTCTCATGGACTTTTCCTGCCTGGGCTGGCTTTAAATCATGATCTTCAGATCTCAGCCTCCTGAGTAGCTAGGATTACAGGCGTGAGCCACCAGTGCCCGGCTCATTTCCATTTTATGTGTAGAAAACTGCGCAATCATCAGGTTGTTTAGAATCTAATATCTAGTAATTTTTGGGCTGAGATTTTAGTATAGGCAACGTTAGTTTTTATTAATTTCTGTATTTCACTTCCTGTTTATAATTCATTTTTCACTATAAAAATTTTAATATAAAAATTCCTTAGGGTTTCTGTTTTCCAGAGTTAATAATACATTATTATAAATTGTGACATCTCTCTTTGAATGATAAATTACTTTTGTTTGTTTTGGTCAGTTGTGGGGCTTGAACTCTGGGCTTGGGTGCTATCCCTCAGCTCTTCAGCTTAAGGCTAGTGCTCAACCACCTGAGCCACAGCACCACTTCTGATAAATTACTTTTGATGAGCACTGAAAGGTACCTTTTTAAAATCATTAGGCTGACAGGATTAATAAATTGTATAATTTATTTCTTAGAAAATTCTAGGTAAATCCTGAATCCTCTTTATTTCAAGCATTATCCATTTAACATAAATGTATATTCTTTCCCAAAAAAAGAGCTACTTTAACTGAGGAAAATCGTTTGAATAGTCACAGTCATAGATACTTTTACTTTTCATGTCTGAAAACAATTTCATTATTTTAGGCTTAAAATTTGATTCAAAGTACATGAATTTCAGAGTACGAGCTTGTAACAAGGCTGTAGCTGGAGACTATTCTGACCCAGTGACCCTAGAGACCAAAGGTAAGAGCAGTAGTTGTTTGCATATCATAAAAGGAAATCTGACATCTGAAATCATTCTAGGTTTTGTGACAAGAAGCATTTCATGTGTGGTTTAATTCCTTTCCTACTTTCCTCTACTACCCCAGCTCTGACTTTTCCCAACAGTAGAAATTTATAAGACTAGGAAAATAGGACTAAAGTAGTGGTTTTCATTAGATTTTCCTTTATGATTGCATTATATGGGTAAAATAGCTTGAGATAGTAGTGTTTTATTTTCTCCTGAATGCTTAGTTTACAAATTTTAAGCTTGTGTAAAATATATAAGCATTGCTGAGGTTTGCTCAGTTTATTCAGAGAATACCTTATGAATCAATAATAAGTACCTATTTAATATAGTCTAGTCCTCAGATTCCCTGAATCATCTTGTTATTACTTACCATTGATAGACTTTATTCTTTCATTTGTGTTTTGGAACTTAAACTCAGGGATCTTGTGCTTACTTGGCTAATTTTGCTCACTTGAGATATGCCTCCAGCCCAAGTTTTTTCTGGTTATTTTGGAGATGAAGTCTTACACACTTTTCTACCCAGGCTGGCTTCAGATCTTAGCCTTCTAAGCCACTAGCTCCTTACTTTATTTTATTACTGTTTATATGAAGTTCTTTACTTAATCACTAGAATCATTTTTAGTGATAAGTAGACTAGATATTCCTATCCATACTACAGATGAAGAAAGTAGTTAAGCATGTTACATTGACCAGTCTCTAGATTGTTTGGAAGTATGAAACTGTTTTTGTGTTCTTTGTCAGCTTTTATTATAGCCTTGAAATCTTAGTTCTAGACTCTGAGAACAATCTGCAGTTAGTGAAAACTCTAAAATAACTTAGTTGAACACAGAAGAAATTTTAGATATTACCATCATGAAAGGCCTTTATGCTAGAGAACATCACATGCATTAATCAATAATTGAAATATAGAGGTGTTCTATTTGCTTAAAGCAATTTATTTTGGAAATGCAAGATATCAGTGTTTATCCTAACTTTTTCGTAGCCTATTAAGGAATTTTATTTACATTTTTACTGAAAACCTTCATTATTTCTTCTTTCTCAAAGTTTAGTTCTGTTTAGAGGCAGATTTTAAAAGTTAACTTCTTTGTATGACATTTAGTAGAAACTGTGAAGTCAGTACATTTGAATCCAGAATGTTGTATTATAAATAAAGACAATGAACAATAGCTCCGATAGATTGGTGAAATTGAAGTGCTCTTTACAGAACTAGTAATAGATTAAAGGATTCTTGAGTCACCCAATGAACATTAGGTTCTCTGCATGTTTGTTTTGTGGTTTGATGATGCATACTTCACAGATGCACTACAGCCTTTGCTAATCCAGCTAATATCCTTACGTGAAGCAGGGTATTGTAAAGGAATATTCTTTTGATGTATAACTACTAAAGATGAACTTTTATAATTAACATGAGTAAATTAATTCGTAACTCATATATGATTAAAACTTTGTGTTTCAACCAACTCTGTGTGTGTGTGTCTGTGTGTGTGTGAGCACACGTGCGCACCTGTGCGCGTGCACTGCTGTCCATGCACATGACAATTCTGGGGTAAATCCAGGGTCTGGGATAAATTCTAGTCCTGAAAAGCCAAGTAAGAGCTTGAACCACACCTCCATTTACATTTTTTCTTTTCTTTTTCGTGGTTAATTGGAGATAAGAGGCTCATGAATGTTCCTTCCTAGGCTGGTTTCAAAATCCTCAGGTCTCAGACTCCTCCTGAGTAGCTAGGATTAAAGTTGTTAGCTAGCAGCTCCCAGCCATGGAAACCTTATAATAGATGATATATTTAAAATATTCTTGGAATTACATTTCAAAATAGGAAAAAAGCTGTGAATTTTAATAATTTGCTTTTAGTTTCCCTAAAGGGAAGCTAATGAATACTTTGTTATATTGATTTCATAAATTAGTTGGTCTAAGAAATGGTGAGTATTGCAGATATTTTCTCCAAATTCCAAATAATCTGAAAAGTTTTGTTTCTTTTCTTTACATTGTAAACCACCTGTAACCTGCATCAGACCTTTAGATGTCATGATTAAGAATTTAAACTTTATTCTCTGTATATAGTTTTGAGTCAGCTAAGTAGGAGAATAATATGATAGATGTGCACCAGAAAGTGGATATTAAAAATATTGTTTTGGACAGCACTTAACTTCAGTTTGGATAACTCATCATCCCATTTGAACCTGAAAGTTGAAGATACATGTGTAGAGTGGGATCCTACAGGAGGCAAAGGTCAAGAAAGTAAAATTAAAGGAAAGGAAAACAAGGGCAGGTAAGCTAGTTCATTAAATTTATTATATGAACAGTTCTTTTACAGTAGTTTTTCTGTAACAATAGCACTGCAACTCTTAATTTACATATGGATAAATGTGTGTACATTCTTTTTCATTTGACATTAACATATTTAAATTTATATTCTTCATACCAATATGATTTGTGATATTTTAGTAGATTTCAAAGTGAAGGGTATAATAATTGATTTGACACTTGACTTATCATTAACATTTTCATTGCTTTTTTCTTAGTTTCTTTTCTAATCTTACAAACTTTCATTTCACCATTTCATGTCTGTAAAGGTATGTACACAGAAACTAAAACTGCTGGACACAATCTTACACTTAGAGATCACTTCTCATACCTGAAGAGGTCTGCACTAAATGACAACTTTCAGCATTTTACCCAGAGTTTTGCCGCAGTTAGCAACTTAATAAATTCAAGAGATGGGCTGAAGGGCCTTTTTTGATTTGTAACAAAACTCAGAATTGTCAAGTTTTGGAGTCTTTTTGCACAGAGTAAATTTTTGTTCAAACTGACATTAATTACAACAATGAATTTTAAAAACCCTCAGCAGGTTTTTTATCTCATTTTATTATAACGTTAAGTTGTTAAGCAGCCTCTTAACAGTTGCCTATTTTTATCTAACAGTGTCCATGTCACTTCACTGAAGAAACATACAAGGTGATGATCTATGTCTGTCTGGTTCTAGGACTTAGTATAGCTAGCTTGGCTGAATAATGTTCAATTTTTCTTTTTAACCAACAAACAGAAGCCATTGCAGCAGCCTTTATAAGCTAAATATTGCTTTGTGTAGACTGTCTGTTTTAGTAGTTCATGTTATGAATTTACAGCATCGTAGTGTGCTACCTATTATTTGTATTGTGTATGATAACAAAACTAGCTCTGCTTTTTTTTTTTTTTTTTTTAATTTAATTTTATTTTATTTGTGAACATACTGTACAGAGGAGTTACAGTTACATGGGCAGGATAATGTGTACATTTCTTACCAAGCATTGCAGCCTCCTCCTTTGTTTATCCTTCACATCCCTTCCCAGCCTCCCCCCTCCCCCCCTAATCCCAATCCTTCTCCTTCCTCCCTCCCCCCAGCCCCCCCCCCCCCCCACCAACATTGTAAAGTTCGTTTTGGACATGACAACTTGTACTTCTCATTGTTGCAACAGGTCCACCTGTATCCTTAAACAACTGGTTTTTCCCCATCTCCTCCACAAGTTATACTGACATCAAATATAGTGAAAGCAAGGGTTATACTATGGGGGAGGGACATACAAAGCAACAAAGAGATAATCTTATAAATGTGTTAGAAACACATGCATGAAAGAAAAAAACATTAAAATACACATCTAAGGGTTCATTTTCCTGACATCACATTATCTGACCTTTTCCGCTTGACTCATACATATACTAGATATTACAAATAAGGGAAACCATGGGACCTACGTTTCTTTGGGCCTGGCTTACTTCACTTAATATAATTTTTTCCAAGTTTTTCCATTTCCTAACAAATGGGGCAATGTCATTCTTTCTGATGGAGGCATAGAATTCCATTGTGTATATATACCACATTTTCTTGATCCATTCATCTACTGAGGGGCATCTGGGTTGGTTCCATATCTTAGGTAAATAATGCTGCAATAAACATAGTTGTGCTGGTACTAGCTCTGCTTTTAAAGTCTTTTTTGAATTATTTTCCCTCATCTGATTTTTTTTCTTGCTTTTACTTATACCTGGCATTTTTCTTGTGGTAATATATTCAGTATATATCTAACATTATGGTTTTTATATATATCATAGCTTTTGTATGTATTTTGACATGAGGCGGGTTTAGTGTTCTATATAATAATTATGCAACTTCAGAAACATCAAATTAAAAAATTAAGGCCATTGCTGGAATTATTAGGAGAGTGCCAGAAAGATGAATCATTTCAGATTGCACAAGCACCAGTGCACATATTGAAATACTACATCTTTTCCAGAAACTAGAATGTGTTGCCTCTTCAGTTTATTTACTATAGATAAAAGTGATTTCATAGTGTGTTATAGATTATAATAGATTTAATAGTCTATTAAGTTTTTAATCTGGGAAAATTTAGACTGATTTATTTAGCATTTCAGGCTGTATTCTTGCTTTCTCTTTTTCTTCTTGTTAAAGGTGTTTTAAAAGTAGACCACTTCTAGATGTTGTACAGGTTAAATATCACTTATCTGAAATGTGTGGGACCTGAAGTGCCTTGGTTATTTCTTCAGGTTTTAGAATACTTGCAAATATATAATGAAATATCCTGAGATTTGGGACCCAAATCTAAACACAAAATCCTTTTTTTTTTTTCATAAGCAATTTGCGTATATCCTGAAGACAATTTTATATAGTGTTTTTGGTTATTGTGTGTTTTGAGTATGACTCATCACATGAAATCCAGTGTGGAATTTTGTACCTGAAGCATTGTGTCAGTTGTCAGAGTTACTCAGATTTCTGGATTAGAGGTGCTCAACCTGTATGCTTAGTCTTAAATTCATCCTTTGCATAAATATTTATTCACTGTAGAGGATATAGATGTTATGGAATTTGTAGGGATAAATACTGTCTTTGCCTTCAAGAAATTTGCTGTGATTCGTGTAGATGAGATATACACAATTAACAATAATGCTTGATGGACATTATCTATAGTTATGTCAGTGAGCTCAAAGGAAGAGAGATATTCAGAGCTGTTAGGTGTTGGGGTGGTTAGAACAGTGCTTCAAATTGATATTAACAGCTAAGCCTTTACTAATTTACTGTGATTAGATAGCCACAAAGGAAAGAGTTTACTCACTCCCACCAGTGTTCTTTATTTCTCAGCCAAATAGCATACAACACAGATCACAGAGGATTTTTCTCATTGCCAAAAGCTCCAAGGACTAGGAAGTGGAAAAGTACTAAGAAAAATTGGAGAAAAGTATTTCTAATATCCCCTGCTGCATAAGGAGGTCTCCATGAAGACAACTGAAAAGCATTTCAGCTTAGGGCATCCCTCCCAAAAGGGACCTCTGATTTAAGATGATTAGGACAGGAATGAAGATATGCCTGAGTTGGTGAGAGGGATAGAACTGCAGCTCTCTTTAAAACTCTAGGATACTAGGGGTGTTGCAAGTCTGTTATAAGCAAGGCAGTTCTCACCCAACTGAAAACCATTAAGGAAAACTTCCCTAACCTCTCTCAAGGCCTGTTAGGTAAAGCCTTTTTAATTGTCTCTGATGGTTTGTAAAAGATCACACAAAAGATTTTGGCCTGAAAGGAGACCCTTCAGATGAGTTATGTAGTGTGTGGCAAGATGTGGAAGGCTTTTTTTGTGTGTATTGGTCCTGGTATTTGAACTCAGGACCTTTTTTGGTAGTTAAGTGGAGATAAGAGTCTCACTGACTTTCCAGGCTGGCTTTGAACCACATTCCTCAAATCTCAGCCTCTTTAGTAGCTAGGATTATAGGCATTAGCTACCAGCACCCAGCTGGAAGGCAAATTTGTTACTGGGGTTTGAACTTAGGCCTAGCACTAACTAGGCAGGCTCACTCCTGTTCAGTCATGCTTTCAGACCTGTTTTTCAGTCATTATTTTTAGGATAGAGCTCACTTCCTACACACCTGAGCCATGCCTACTTTAGGTATGTGGACATTTCTGGGATCACTGCATATACCACTAGGTCCAGCATTCCTTCATGGATACAGAGTCCTTTTCCTCCCACCACTGGCCTTGCTCCATCATCCTCCCAATCATTTTTGGATAAAAGCTTTCAGATGACAAGCCTGTTAGACTTGGCAAAAGGGGGGTTTTAGGAACTTTGTGGTGCAAGGAACTGTGGTTCTTCAGTTCTCAGCCCTCCAAGTAGGTAAGATTATAGACATGAGCCAGCAGCACCCAGCAGGCCTTCATTCTTGGGAGGATGTGTTGTATTTGGACTTACATTAATGGGTGCAAGAAGAAAGATACTGAAGCAGATTCTGTAAGTATGAAGAACACTGGTACATTTAATTGTACAGTGCTTGCTAGGGCTTGGAAGTCCGATTAGGACTCAAATCAATAACCTCAGATGCCCAGCCAAGTGGATTGTGACAGTATTGAAGACATGATTTTAAAATACAGGAATCAGTCTTAGGTTTACTCTGTACTAGTGAACAAGGTGAGAAGTGGATATTAAAGAAATTAAGCTAGGTGCTGGTGACTCACCGCTGTAATCCTAGCTACTTAGGAGGCTGAGATCTGAGAATAGCTTTTGAAGCCAGACTAGGGAAGAAAGTCTGTTATTTCCAATTAACCACAGACAGACTGATGGGGAGAAGGAGAGAGAGAGAAAGAGCAAGAGGAGAGAGAATTTGAGGTAGCAAAGCCTGAATTAAGACAGTTAAATGGATAAAGTATCTTTTAAGAGAAACAAGTGGAAGGTGATCATGTTTTACATATGATAATAGTTGTTCTTGCAAAATGTACTTAAAGTTGGAAGTATGGAAGCTACAATGGAAGTGCTCCTTTTCTCTGAAACTAAATTGCCATTCTCAATAGATATTTCTGTTTTTCTTTTCTTCATGCTTCCCCTTATTTCTTTACTACTGGTAAGTTACACTCTTTTTTCTTTAAAAATTGATTTTGTGACTATCAGATGAGCTCTTAGCATATTTTGAAAAGATGCCAATGAAACGTCTTTATTTATATTGTATGACTTTCTTTTGCTTTTTATTCTAAATTACCTAGGATATATTTTTCAAACTGTATGTTTCTTCCTAACTCACAAATGTGCCTGCCAACAGAGGAAAAGAACAGTGTATTTATATTTATTATAAAATCCTAAAGCATTGTGTTTCTCCAATTTAGGAAGAATATGATTCAGCATTCCTTTTCATATCTTTCCAAAATTGCATCAAATATACTCTTCACACTTCTTTTGGTGCCAGTCCTGGGACTTGAACTCAGGGCCTAGGTGCTATTCCTGAGCTTTTGTGCTTAAGGCTAATGCTCTTCCACTTGAGCCACAGCTCTACTTGTGGTGGTTAATTGCAGATAAGAATCTCATGGAGTTTTCTGCTTGGACTGGTTTCTAACCACAATCCTCAGATCTTAGCTTCTTGAGTAGCTAAGATTACAGGTGTGAGCCACCAGCATCTGATTCACACTTAAGAAATAGAATGATTACTTCAAATGAAATATTTTCAGAAGTCTGATGTAAAAAGTGAAAGAAAGGACTCAGAGCTGGCCTCTTTCTACAGTCCCACAGAAGCCTCTGTGACCTCTGTAGATTTCTCTTGAGTTTAGGACATGATTTGAAAACACCAGTTTCAAATGCCTATCTGTCCTCAAACCACCAGGACAGTGAAAACAGAACTACAGTTCTTTTTGGGTGGGAAAATGCTTGAACTTAGGGCCTGAGTGTTGTCTCTTAGCTTTATTTGCTAAGGCTGGTGCTCTTCCACTTGAGCCCCACACTGCCACTTCCAGCTTTTTGGTGGTTAAGTGGAAATAAGACTTTCATTGATTTTCCTGCCAGGACTAGCTTTGAACCATGATCCTTAGATCTTAGCCTCCTGAGTAGCTAGGATTATAGATATGAGCCCCTGAGACCTAGTTTATTTTTTGTTCTTAGTTTGAGACCACTTTTGATCAGGTTATTAATATTCTTCATCAGCTTTTATAAAAAGAGTTTAAGCTGTGCACTGGTGGCCTGTAATCCTAGCTACTCAGGAGGCTTAAATATGAGGATTGCAATTCAAAGCCAGCCCATGCAGAAAAGTCTGTGAAACTCTTATCTTCAATAAACCACCAGAAAATCAGAAGTGGCACTGTGGCTCAAGTGGTAGAGCACTAGCCTTGAGCTGAAGAGCTGAGGGACAGCACCCAGGCCCAGAGTTCAAGCCCCATGATAGACAAAAAAAAAAAGGGAAAGAGTTTAAAATTGTAATGTAATGTAGAATTTTGTTTTGCTTTTTCTTCTTTTATACTTGTCATTAAGTTGGCTGTAGAATTTTATTTTCTTACTACTTGATGACCCATAAAATGTTGTATATTGTATTGCTTAGAAAACCTTTTAAACCAAATCTTAAAATAACTTTTAAAAAGATTCAAAATCATGAACATACATTTTTCTTCATTTTTACTTATTTTTATCCCCTATTTTGGAGAACGTCTCATAAAACACTTCTAGGTTTTTCCGTTATCACATTTTGTTCTGCTCTTTCCTGTCTGAACATAAATTTCACAGAAATTTTGATCTTCCTATCCTTATTTACCTTTGCTTATACTATCTGTTTAAGGGGAATCCTTAGCTACCTAAGTGTCATTTTAAAGCATTTTTTTCAAAAAGGACCTTTGGCATCCTTTGGAAAAAGATAAACTACATCATGTAAATACTGTAGCTGTGGAATTATATAGAATGGCTTGATATCACACTAGAAAGTGGAGCCTAAACAGTCCTTGAGTTTGTATTTTGAAACTGTCTAATAAATCTGCATGACAGTCTTTATCAGGAATTTTTCTAATATTAGTTGGTAGCTTATTACTAGCTATTAAATTGACCTTTTCTTAGGAAGAACAAGTTTAGTGCAACTATATTTGAGAAGTATTTTATTTCTAATTAGTGATGAGAATATACATAAGCATTATCATTTCTCTTAAGGATAATCTTAACTATAGGATAATCTTAACAAATATTCTTAATTTTTAATGCTCTAATTCAGTATAATTTGTTATTTTTTAAATATCTTCAATTTTCTTGTATTGAAAAGCTTAATATTATCCCCTTTACCATTTTTTTAAATTTTTTATTGTTGAAGTGATGTATAAAGGGGTTACAGTTACCCTTTACCATTTAAATAGTGCAAGTGCTTTATAATACTTCATAGAATCCTGTGTTTGGATATGAATAATTGCTGTTTCTCTTTTCAAGAGGAATGGTACAGGGCAAGAATAAAGTTGCTTAGTTTTGATTATGAGAAATCTAGTTTGCCTTGGCTTTGATGTAAATTTAATTCTAAAATGTAACCCCAAGTCTTCCTTGATTTTTTTTTCTCCTTCAGCAAGTCTGCCTCATTTTTCTATTGCTCCTTATTTTAACTCTGTGTTCTTTGTATAAACTTGCTTGATCTGCATGACATGTTTTCAGCCTGCTTTGCAATGGTAGCCTTCTACATTTGAGTGTTTACAATTGACACCTCTCTAATAATAGCTAAGATCAAGTGATGCTGTTTTTGCAACATAATTAGAAATCTTTCCATGGATTTGTTCTCTATTTGTAATTTTGTTTTATGAACATTCCCAACAAAGAAATAATTTGTTTTTCTTTTTCATTTTGTTTATATAGAAGTGGTACACCATCTCCCAAACGAGCATCCATAGGCTCCAGGCCACCATCAGTAAGAGGCAGCAGAGATCGTTTTACTGGGGAATCATACACAGTTTTAGGTAGGATAAAACACAATATTGTTCATGGCCTCAGATTAAAAGCATCACAGTTACACTGGTGGGGTTTTTAGTAATTCGGAACTAGAGTGGCTGCCTATCTTGAACGAATCTTTGCAGAACTTTCTCCAGATTGAAACCTAATAATTATGAAGTTTTTGTGATTGATTTATTCATACTTTTTAAAACTATTTTACTGATGCCTTACATATATATATATATAACTCTTGATGGAATAGTAGAAAAATAAGTTCTTAAGCATTTTCTATTCAGAAAAAATAAATACAAAAGTAAGATTACAGTAAATTCTTTGTGTTTAGTGTCTATGTTTTAACATAATGATTTTCATAGAAGGAGTAGTTGAATTAGCCAAACATGATGGCACAGACCTGCAATCTAAGCACTTAAGAAGCTAAAAAAGGAAGCTCAGCTTTGAAGTCAGCTTGGGTTATATACAGAGAGAGAAATTAGTCTTTTGTCTAAATAAGTAAATTAAAATGAAATAAATAATTAACTTGTAAAATATAGGTGAATTAAAGTTTGTGTGCTATTTGTAGAATAAATGATAAGTAAAAATTTGTATGATTCATAGGACAAAGTAAGTCTTTTTTTCTAATCTTCTATAGGGGACACTGCTATTGAAAGTGGACAGCATTATTGGGAAGTCAAGGCGCAGAAAGATTGCAAATCCTACAGTGTGGGAGTAGCATACAAAACTTTGGGAAAATTTGATCAGCTGGGAAAGACAAACACTAGTTGGTGTATTCATGTCAACAACTGGCTACAAAACACATTTGCAGCAAAACATAATAATAAAGTCAAAGCTTTGGATGTTTCTGTTCCTGAGAAAATAGGTGTGTTTTGTGATTTTGATGGGGGTAAGTTTACTTATTTTCTCACTAATCATTTCATCACAGTTGCTTATATTTCAGTACTTTTCATAGTTAATTTATATAAAATTTCCTTTAGTCTTGTATAAGAACACCTAGTCTAACTAGGTTTTGATCACAGGTGTAAGTTCAATTATATAATTGAATGGAAGAAAATAGGATATTTGCTTGAAGCTATGGAAAAGGAATCAATTATTATACAGCAAGTCTGGAAGATTTTGCTAATTTTAGATGTGGGCACTAAAATTTCTTCTGTTTTAATGCCTTTCTTATTATATTGTATTACCTACTTGTAAAGAATGGTAAAATCATATTTTTAAAGTGGAAATAGACCTCAGAAATTACCCAGTCTATTTGTTAAATTTAAAATTCTTTTTTGTGGGAGGGGAAAGTGGGTTTGATATCATGAGCCTGGATAGTGTCCCTGAGTTTTTTTGCTCAAGGCTAGCACTCTACCACTTGAGTCAGAGTTCTACATCTGGAGGTTAGAGTCTCCAGACTTTCCTGTCTGGGCTAGCTCCAAAATGCAATCCTCAGATCTCAGCCTCTTGAGTGGCTGGGATTACAGCTGGATTACTGGCACCTGGCTAAAACTGTTAAAGTGCTATCTTTGCAGATAATTTCCATTCATATATTGGAAGAACTTATATGAGGAGTGGGGTGGAGGTGGTACTAGGTACTAGAATTTGAATTCACTGCCTTGGTTGTCACATTCAGCAGGCACATGCTATGACACTCTACTACTAGAACCATATCTCTAGCCCTGCTTTTTGCTGTTTTGGGGCGATGGAGGGGGCAGTGATGAAGTCTTGCAGACATGCTACTCACACTGGCTTCAAAGTGCATTTCTCCAAATCTCATTATCATGAGTAGCCAGGATTACAAGCATGAGGTACTGGGGGCAGCATGGAAAGGCTTTTTAATATGAAATTTACTGTCTTAAAAGGCGTCCTACTTATTAGGCAGCTCTTGGTGAAGCTTTTCTAAAATGGACTCATTTATGTCCCTATAACTTAACAATGTTGCTCTTAAATTTTTCCATTTGAATAAACACAAATTATGGTCTCTAATCTACATTCACAGGATAAACTTCCTGTTAAAAACTACTTACGTTGCCTATCTTGATCTGTTGTTATGGACTATACATATTTTGTTACTAGTTGTTTCTTTTATAATTGAATTATTCTAAACACTTAAAATCATCTATGGTCATTTACTAGGCTAACATATTTCATAAAGATTGGTTCTTAGAGTAGAACACACAACTTTCCTGACTGGCATAAGAACAGTGACGTGGCAGCACTGTTTGTAGTAGTTTTTACTACACTGTTAAATAAATACCTTCTACCTATATTGCTCTTGTAGCCACCTAATCTATTAGATCTCTTCTTGCAGAGTTCCATCAGATTGTCTTTTCTTTCAACAGGAAGCTTAAGAGTTTCCTGAGTTACTATTTATGATTCAAGAAAAGAATTTGTTACTTTTTTAATAGATTTGACTAAACTTGTCCTGTTCAAATCATCTAAAAATTAACTTGATAATTTATCTTTTGAAAAAAGATCTTTAAGGTTTTAGAATTATTTAATAAATATTGTCTCTGAAATGAGAGCTAATCAACAATTATGAAGATCATATAATAATGAACTAAGGAACAAAAATATTTCCATACATGTTTCTAAGTTGACCCTTTAAGTAAATAATCCAAAAATTTATCATTTTAAGTAGCAAATTCTAGGAAGTATCAACTTAATATCAACTTAGTCACTGAAACAAAAAATAAGAAAAGAGTTGATTTATTTCTAGTGTGACACATTAGTTTTGGTGCATTTTTTATTTACCCACTTGGACCTAGATAAACTATTTTCCTTGAAATAAATGACCAATTTATATTCTTTTTTTTTTAACTACCAAGAGAGCAGTTGCTAATTTTCTTCTTTCTTCTCCCATACTCTGATTCCACAAAGAGAATAGGGAGAAGTGATTGGTAGCCTAAAGCAAAAAGAAAATAGTAGGAGAAGCTAATCTGTAGGAGATGAGAGTACACTTATCTTCAGTGGTAGAAAGTAGCTCTGTACATTTTAGAAAACCATAGCCATATTATGAGAATCCAGCATTAGAAATACTGGAGAGTAGCTAGGCACTAATAGCTTGCACCTACATTCCTAGCCACTTAGGAGACTTTGATCTGAGAATTGAGGTTTGAAGTCAGCATAGGCAAACGAAACCAAGAAATCCTCATCTCCAGTTAAACAGCAAAAAGCTGGAACTGGAGGCATGGCTTAAGTTGGAATTCCAGCCTTTAGCAAGAAAGCTGAGCAAAAGTATGAAGCCCAGAGTTCAAGCTTGAGTTCTGGAAAATAAGTATTAGAGTACATGCTTAAAGAGAAGTGACTTGGGTTGGGGAGATAGCGTAGCCTTTTTTGGAGGCAGTCTTTAAATAGCAGGACCATTTCTATTGTAACTACTGAAACTATATTACCTGATAAGTGTTTTTTACATAGGAATGCCTAGTGCTTTTGGGGTGATTGGTAGCAAGGACCTGAGCAGTGGAGAGTCAAGAGGAATGGATCTGTTCTTGTGAAAGTAGAACTTACAGTACTTAGTGACTAAAGATGGATTGTGGATAATAAACAAGAGTTGGAGATGATCCTATCCGTGTCAGAGGATGAAAGGGAGGATAGAGTCTAGGTGGATAGCAGCATAACCAACCATTGACATGCTTAGCAAGCCCTTTGGAGGGGAGCCGAGAGGGAAGGAGGGAGAGTGGGAGAAAAATGAGAGAGGGGTAACAGTGTTCTATAAGAAATGTACTCATTACCTTACTTATGTAACTAGACCTCACAATAAATAAAATAAAACAGTGTTTGACAAGAAATGTACTTACTACCTTACGTATGTAACTGTAACCCCTCTGGACATCACCTTTACAATAAAATTAGATTAAAAAATAAAAAATATAAAGAAAAGAAATTCAATGTTTGACCTCAGAAGTAGAACTGAAGCTATTTGTGATAGCATCATGAAGTGATATTTAAACATTACCGCTCTACAATTTACTTTGTAATCACACATAGGTTACTTAATATTTTAAAGTAATATATTCAAAGTCCTCAGCACTTTAATAGTATGCATAAATGCTAGGTTCTTTATGCTTGTTGTTGCTTTAATAAGTGCAGTGTGGAGAGAAAAAAAGAATTCTGGACAAAGAGGTAAGAACAGGTTTCTGCGGGGATAGGATTCAAATCAGAACAGTCAAGAAGAAACAGCAATTGCAAGGAATGCCATTGGTTGGACATTTACAAGGTCAGACAATTGTTTTAGGAAATGATATTGTTAAAATACAGACCAGAGTAGATTTTGGAAATTAAAAAGCTGGCAGTGATGACTGTACTGTGTGAGTGTGGTTTTAAGTAGTTAGAACACGAGTTAATGGAAGTAAATAAACCTTAGAAGGTGAAAGCATTTGGATAGAGCAGAAATGAGGAGGATGAGAAAACTTTGACTTTTACTAGGCTGATTAAACCTTTAGTTAAATGACGGTTAAACAGTTCAGGCCAGGCTCTGGTGGCTCACACCTGTAATTCTAGCTATTCAGGAGGCTGAGATCTGAGATCTTGGTTCAAAGCCAACCTGGGCAGGAAAGTCCGTGAGACTCTTATTTTCAATTGACCATCAGAAAACCGGAAGTGGCACTCTGGCTCAAGTGGTAGAGAGTTCACCTTGAGCTAAAGGGCTCAGTGACAGCCCCCAAGCCCAGAGTTCAAGCCCCACAACCGCTCCCAAAAAACCTCCACAAAACAACAACAAAAAACAGTTCATACGTGAATAGGTAAAATAGACAGATTATGGAATTCTTCCGGAAATCTTGAAAAAATAGGGAAGAAAATTGGACTTTGGCTTTTCTTTAAGCATGTTTATTGATTTTCAAGTACCAATTATTAAGTCCTTTTGTTTATAGGTTACAGCAAAAAGTAAATGTCAAAATATAATTTATTCTTAGTGGGGTTATATGTTGGGCTTAATTAGATGTTATAAATTTTGTATAATAAATTAGCTACTTTTCTTTCAGGTCAGCTTTCTTTTTATGATGCAAACTCAAAACAGTTGCTGTATTCCTTTAAGACAAAATTTACTCAGCCAGTACTACCTGGTTTCATGGTTAGTACCTAATTTATATTTTATTTGGTTTCATAACTAAGGAGAATAAATGATGCTATATTATTTGGAAAGGCAGAGCGTATTACTTTTTTGTTGTATTCATCTTCCTGTCCCCAAACCACCATCTCCAAAGTCTGTGCTTTCTATGTATTTTTAATATGTTTTATTGAAGCAGGTATTAATACATAAAAGTACGTAAGTCATAAAAGCATGAATTTTCGTAGATTGTACTTTCTTTTCTAATACCTAGAACAAGAAATGGAACCTTAATAGAACCTTAATTGTCTCTGTGCCTACTTCTTTTCTCCTGGCTACTTTCTTTAAGAGTAACTACTATTACAAATTGTAATTCACAAAATTCCTCATCTTCAACTTTATGTAAACAGAATCAGACAATGTTTTTAGCTCCGAATATTTTTGGGGGGAGGGTGGAGTGAAGGTGGAGAACATTACTGGGGCTTGAACTCTGGGCCTTATGTTTGTTAGATGCTCTGCTTGAGTCATGCCCCCAAATCTTTTTACGTTAGTTATAGGGTCTCATGTTTATGTCCAAGCCACATTGGACCATAATTCGCCTATTATACTTCCTGTGTTTCTGGGATTTCAGGCACATACCTCCAGGCCCAGCTGTTACTGGTTGAGGTGAGGTCTTAGGAGCTTTTTGTTTGGACTGACCTTAAACCACTGTCCTACTGAGCACCTAGGATTGTAGATGTAAACTATCCTCTTGAGCTTGGATCAACATTTTGTGAAATTTGTCTGCATTTTAAGTGGTTTTAGTTCATTCAGTTTCATAGGTGAATAGTTTCCCTTTACATGACTATATTGTAATTTGTCCATTCTATAGTTGGGCTTGTGGGTGATACCCATTTGGAGGTTGTATTTACACATGTATCATTCCAGACTCAAAGATTGATTTATATTAAAAAATTAGTTTCTTCACACAAAATGAGACATTTTTATGTAATTCATTTGAACAAAAGTTATTCTTAGCTGGCACTAGTGGTTCTCACCTGTAATACTAGCTTCTCAGGAGACTTATATCTGAGGATCATGTGTGAAGCCAGCCAAGGTAGGAAGTTCATGAGACTCTTGCCTCCAATTAGGCACCAGAAAAGCCAGAAGTGGGGCTCAAGTGGTAGAGCACTTAGCCTCGAGCACAAAAGCTCAAGGAGAGTGCCCAGGCCCTGAGTTCAAGTCCCATGGCTGGCATCAAAACAAAGTACCTTGATTATTGGCATTTCTCTATACCATTGGGCTGCTGTGGGGTGTTCTAGGATCTAGTTAAGGACATTATTCTGAGTAGAAGTTTCCATAATTTGGTACTTCTATAAATTAGGATGTTATATTTCAAATTTAGACTTGGTGGAATGTTTTGTATGTGTGTTTTCTATTATTATTGCTAAGTATAACTCCCCACTATGAAGAAAAAGTACATATGTTTAAAACACATATATTCTTTTAAAATTCACCAACAAAAATTTTCAATCTAGAAAATCTAAAATCTCGAGCATAGAGCAATGCTAATAAACAGTTCTAGTTCATTAAAAATAAAAGTGATGAAGCCAGGTACTGGTGGCTCATGCCTCTAATGCTAGCTACTCCGGGTTGAGATCTGAGTATTGTGGTTCAGAACTAGCCCCAGCAGGAAATTCTGTGAGACTCTTCTCTCCATTAACCACCAGAAAACCAGAAGTGGTGCCATGGCTCTAGAGGTAGAGCGCTAGCCTTGAGCTAAAGAGCTCAGAGACAGTGCCCAGGTCAGAGTTCAAGCCCCATGACCAACCAAAAACAAAATTAATTAAGTTTTGCTTGTTTCAGAATACACTATAAATAGAATTATTTAGCATTTGTCTTTAGATTGTATAGATTAATGCATTTAAATTCACCCATACTATTGTGTGTGCATTTTTTTCCTGGTGCTGGTACCAGGACTTGAACTCAGGACCTCATGCTTTCAGCTTTTTGCTCAGCTTTCTTGCTCATTTGCTCATGGCTGATGTTCCACTACTTGATCCATACTTTCAGTCTGGCCATTTTGCTGGTCAATTGGAGATGGAGTCTCATAGACTTTTCTGCCTTGGCTGATTCCAAACTAAAATCTTCTTAAGTCTCCTGAGTAGCTAGGATTATAGGCACGAATTACCAGTGCCTGGTTAATATTCCTTTTTCTGTTGCTGCATAGTATTTCCTATTTGCATGTACCATAGTTTGGTGGTTGTTTTTTGTTTTTGCTTTCTTAGTGTGCTTTGCAATACTCTGGTTAGAAACTGTGGCCTTATACAGGCAGTGCAAGTTCTCTAACATTGGCTTACATCCCCAGATCTTACTTGTTTGTTTTTTTTCTTTTAAAGACAGGGCTGTACTATGTAGCCCTGGCTGCCCTTGAACATGTATTTTTCCTGCATCCATCTTCAGAGTGCTGGGATTGCAGGTGTGTGCCACCACACCTATTTTATACCACAATTTATGTATGCATTCACCTGTTGAAGGATATTTTGGTCCTTTCTTGTTTGGAGCATTTATGAATAGTCATATTAATAATTATGCTATAAATATCCACATACGAGTTTCTTGTGAACATGTTTCACTTCTCTTGAAAAAATATATGAGTAATAGTGTTCCCAAAGTAGTGTTCATTTGGCTTTATAATAAACTACAAAAACATTTTCCAGAGTGGCTGTTTCTTTCTGCATACTCGCAGCAATCTATAAGCGTTTACACATCTTTCCTATTATTAGGTATATTGCCAGTTGTGCAGATTAGTATCAGAAATGATGGGCAATATCTTCTGCCTAGATTAATCCACTTAAAATTCTACAGTCCTGACTTGTCTTTTGTTGGGTGCAGCTTCAGTTGCTTCTAAAGTAATCCTGAATTGTTCTGTCCCTCCTCCCAGTACAAAAGTGAAGCTTGTTAGCTTGAGATGTTTTGTTATTCATACATATGAAATTTTGTCTTTTTAACAGAAATTTAAGAATCACTGGGGTTACAATTTGATTTGAAATCTGACTGGGACTTTGATTTTTGTCTTTTCTTAGGTTTGGTGTGGTGGACTTTCTTTGAGTACTGGGATGCAGGTTCCAAGTGCTGTGAGAACACTTCAGAAAAGTGAAAATGGAATGACTGGCTCAGCTAGCAGCCTGAACAATGCTACTACACAGTAATGCCTACTCAGACTATGTTTACCCTCCCTTTTGATTGGGTGGCCTTTCCTGTGCAGTAACTAACCACAGGAAGTTGTGAGTGATGGAATTCAGGTTTACTATGCCCTCCTTTAAGGCCTGGAATCTTTTAGCTTAAGCATCTACAACAAAGCATTCACAGTGTTCTGCTATGAAATATAGAGGCACAAGCAGTTATCCCCCCCCCCCAAAGACCAATGTCTTAAATAGTAAATGGGAAAAAGGCAGTGTTTAAGTATTTATTAGGAAATTCATTTTTATGGTTCTTAGATTACTTAGGTTCTTCTGTAGAGTTTTATTATATATTGTGACCCTAGTTGCTGGGCTGCAATGCTTTTAAAGCTTGCCCTTTTTCCTTTCATGTTCTTGTTTCTATTATATCCTGTTACTTAGTTCTTACACTGAAGCTTTAAAAATACACAGTCCCCCAACAATTCATAAAAATGGAAATCATTCATTGGGGATGACAAAAATGTTATCTTGTGGTTTATTTTCCATTTTTTTATAAATAAGTTGTTTGCTAAATTAACTTATTTATTGATTGCATATCATTTTCCTTTCTAATATACTGTGGTATTTCTCTTGTGTTTATAACTCAAAGTACAGTGGAATAAGGGAACACTTAAACAGCTTAAAATTACCCAGATTTCGGTGTTATGCCTTCTATACTAACATAATGGCAGAGGGATATATTTTACATTTTGCTCTGCTTAGATTAGGTAAAAATTTTACAATCTTTGTTTTCTGGTTTTGTTATCTAATTTAATTCTACCTTTAACCATTATCGTTGATAAAATTCACACTCAAATTGGGCACTAATTATAATTGTAACTGATTTTTAGCAGTTAAAGAGTGCCTATTTAGAAGTTAAAGTTATATAAAAGATACCCAACTTTTATCTAAGGAAAGATAGGTTATAAAAGGAGATGCCTAAAATGTTCTTTACTGGAAGAATTTATATCTTCATTGTAATATGAAGTTTAAAAAACTTGAAAAATACATATCTCTGACTTATTCAAGTTTTTCAATCTATTCAGAGGTTAACTTTTTCTGTTCGTTACTCATTTGCTTTCTAGAGGCATAATATACTTATTCCAAGACTTATTCCATAGACAATGTTGAACAATGAGTTAAAAAAAACTATTCCTAAAAAGCCAAGTATTTCAGTAATAATTGTAATTCAAGTTACAAGTTGAACCAAACTAAAAGTTGTAATTACAGTATTTTAAGAATTATTTGAACATTTTTATAAGAATTTCATGGGCTGGGAAGGTTGGCTCAGTAGTAGAGCGCTTGCCTTGCATGCATGAGGCCCTGGGTTCGATTCCTCAGTACCACATAAGCAGAAGAAAAAAAAAGCCGGAAGTGGCGCTCTGGCTCGAGTGGTAGAGCACTAGCCTTGAGCTGAAGAGCTGAGGGACGGTGCCCAGGCCCAGAGTTCAGGCCCCACGATCCGACCCCCCCCCCCCAAAAAAAAAGAATTTCCTTAATATTTGAAACTTAATTTCTCCTGTTGAGTTTCTTTCGTTCTTGTTTTTTAAATCTGCTGACACCTTCCCCCAAGAAGTGACTGGCTGCTTACATTTGAGTGGCTTTCTACATAAGGCCTGTGGAATAGTATATTCCCTCTTAACATTTCCTGTTTACTGATAGATCATTTTGTGCTACTGATAGAACAGATTTGACCTAGGGTATTGTTTATTTCTAGAAGACAAATAGCTGCATTGTGTGATAACATCTTGGTAATTTTAAAAACTATAAACAGTTTAGAGAAATAAGTATGTCACTAGTCAGTCTTTGGTAATCCAAACAAATATTTTGTTTTTGTTTCTCATGTTTTGAAAGAAATATTTGGATGTTCTGCTTCCTTTAGAAGGGCTATTCTAGGACCTTAGGAGACAAGAATGAATTTCTTTTCATAGGCTCAAACCTGAAAGCAGTGATTTAGTGGAATTGCTTTATGCAAGTAGCTACATGACACTAAAAAAAGCCAGATGTTCTTGTACAGAACTGTATTCTGTTATGTCTTACATAATTGTGTCTTCTCATTAAGCCAGTGCCTTTTCCTCTTAAGCATGCTCCTTGCTCCATGTCCAGTATCAACTGACAGTTAATCCAGACAGCATGACATGGCAGTGGTAAGGACCTTCTGTTGAAGGGGTATGGGGAAAGGAAATACTAATCAGGAGCTGGAGGAGTGTGTATGATTTCTTTCTAGTACTCCTACCACCATTTCAAAGTTTTCATAGAAAGTTTTCTAATATTGCTGGGAAGATGGCTCAGTGGTAGAGCGCTTGCCTTGCATGCTTGAGGCCCTGGGTTTGATTCCTTAGCACCACATAAGAAAAAAGAAAAAAGCCGGAAGTGGTGGTGTGGCTCAAGTGGTAGAGCGCTAGCCTTGAGCTGAAGAACTGAGGGACAGTGCCCAGGCCCAGAGTTCAGGCCCCACGACTGGACCCAAAAAAAAGAAAAGAAAAAAGGAAGTTTTCTAATATTAATTTGAAAAATACATTAACTTCACTAGGAAGAAGCTTTGTGGTAATAAATAAATAAATTCAATAAATCCAGAGTCCAAATTTCCTTTACAAGTAATACCTGGTATTGCATGATATGAATATTATGTCAGACTGGGAATTTGAGGGTTTTCTACTCTCTGCTTCTTCCTAAAGTTATCTAAAATTAAACAACCATATGGTATTTTTGTTTTAAGATTTTTAAATTTTATTTGTTAAACTAATCAGAAAGTTTGTTACCCTAATTTTTAACCTAAAAAATAATAAAATATAGTGCCTATTTTTAATAGTTTCAAAATAAGGTAGCCATTAACTTGATCATAATATATGACGTAAAAAATATTGAGCTCCTTTGCTCAACTTTAATGCATTGTGAAAATGTTAGTACATCTTTTTAAACCTTCTTTATTGCTTTATTTACCTTTTTTGGTGGGGAGGGGAGTGAGGTCAAACATGAGTGCTTCCTATAAAGGAACTGCATGAGAGGTTGACTAATGGATATAACACAGGTATAAAAATTATGTTTTATGAAACATGCATTGAGTATTACATTTCTTTTTAGCAAATGAATTCCAAACCAGTTTTATTAAACTGTATATAGAAATGAAGGAGCTGCCTTAAGCACTTTAGAACAAGAATTTAAAATTCATTTTAACTTTTCGGCTGACTATGTCACATGCATCTTTAACTTTTGATCTGTAGATGTATATCAAGCATTTAATCACTAATGCACATAGAAAAAGTGTCTTGTTGAATGTTCCAGGCATAGGTAAATGAATTAAAAGTATTAAGGGCATGTGTGTCTATATATGGGTTTAACTGATGGCATCTGAATTATTTTGACGGTGAACTACTATTACACAGCTAAACTTGGCCTACTTGCTCTGTTTTGCAAATAGTAATTTCCCCTTGTCATATAAGAAGAAATATTGGCTTGAACATACTTATTAACTTATGAAATCAGGGCATCAACAATATCATGCATATTTTTGAATTTTTGGAGCTGGCCATTGGTGGTATAAATATTTGTGATAAAAGCTTTTAATTAGGCTAATATATTCTATTTCATTACTTACCTAAAATGTTAGTTTCTCTCCATATTTTCTCATAAATTATTTATGTATTTTAATTATTTCCTTTAAAAATCATTGGAAAAGTTGCAAAAGGATATATACGTAAAATGAATATTCCAAAGAATATTAATAGTAAGACAGTGTAGACTTTCTACTATAAAATGTATGATTCTAGGCTAACTTTTCAAAACATAAATTCATTTTTACAGCATATTTGTTAGATGGGTGTGTGTTTATTGTCTATTCATATAAAAAAGTAGTTTTTGTGGTCTGGCAGTTAAGATTGAGATTATTTGTATTCACATTTCCAAAACTAGAACAGTTTATTATACACCTCATTCTGCTGCTCATTCTGCTGCTTTTAGGTCATGATAGAAACTGCATTTTTAAAAAAATGTTTTCAGTCAGAAATTTTTTAAAGGTATATTTATTATAGCTTGTAAGAAACACTCAAATTAACTGCATAGAGTAATGGTTTACTTTTTTATAATCACATAAAATAGGTCTGAAAATCTTCTTTCTTGATTTTATTTTTGCACTAACTATATTCTTTCAGAGAAGCATATGATCAGCATAAAATTGCTAAATATCCAGGTACCCATCAAGTTATTTTTAACCAAGATAATGTCATAATTCCAGCAGCACTAAAGTATTATAAGAAACCATAGATACTTCTGTAATCATCACAGCAATATTACCTCACGTTCAGTATGGTTTATTTTGGTTGTATCTGACAGTATTTACATTCTGCAGTCATTTGTGATTCTGATGTCAAATATGACAGCTTTCTTATCTGAGCTGTATGATTAACCTAAATAATTTTAAAGATTGTGATTTTGGAGTTTATGTGGATTGAATTTGGTATGTGTTGTTTTTATTGAAAGATATTTTTGGACAAGTATATACAAGTCATTGTTGGCTTAGTAAATAAATACCAGAAATTGCCATGGTACTTTCATCTTCAGACTACCTTAATTATTAAACTTAAAGAATATTTGTTATTTCTTGGCATAAAGCGCTAACTTACTTCATTATCATTTAAGCTATTTTAATTTAAACTAGTATGCTTTCTTAACATGGTACCCAGTCAAGTAAGCTGGTCCCTAGGAATGGACCGCGTTGAGGATTTTGCAGCATGTAGTGCAGACGGTAGGAGAATGTGTTTGCTTTGGTTAGTAGCTTAGGTTTAAAATAAGTCAGATTGTTATGTGACTGGCAAAACAGCTTCATTAATCCTGGAAAGCACAGGACTATGAGGAGAATATTTTTCAAAAAAAAATTTTTTTTAACATTTCCAATATCTCTAAGGTACCAAAGCAGAGTCTAAGTTCATCTTCTAAGAGAGATTCTTTAAAATCAAATTTGTGGTTAATTCATGCTATATAAGATATATAATACCTAAAGTTTCAAGTCATTTATATTAAGAGCCACTGGTCTTTAAATTTTTCTCTAGATGATATTAAAAAGTCTTGGAATCGTCTCTTCTAATCACCATAGCAGTGTCATATATTAGCTCTGTCACCTGTGTGTAAATCACCCATCACCTGTGGGCCTTTGTTGCCTTACTTGTTACACTTCTAACTTGTTCAGCCTACCTCACAGGGCTGTTGTGGGGGATAAAATGAAATGAACTATGTAATATTGCAGCTTGAACACAGTCAAGTCCTATGTAAATGGAAGGTATTTTTAGATAAGAATGGATTTAAGTGTTTGGATACTTCAAAATGCCGTTTACTTTGATAAAGCATGTTATTCAATGGTATTACCAGTGATTTCAAATGTGATTTTAAAAATAAAACTTCCTATTAAAATGCCCTTTAATATCATTTAGTTCGTGTGTGACTTGTGGTCTTTTTATAGTTTCTCATCTATTTCAAGGCTTTGTAGAGTTGTAACGTTCTCCCACAGCATTAGTGTGGTCATTGTAGAACAGTCATAAATACACAAATTCGGCTACTTTTCCACCCAGGAATTTGCACTTTCAATTTAGGGACTTCCTGTTGCCACATACAAAGAGTAAATTTGTTGTAAATGATAACGTAGTGTTTCCATTGGACATTTGATATCTTTGTCACGTTGAAATTAATAAGATGAACACTTCACAGCCTTGCTGAGTAACCTGCATATCATTTATATCTCCCCTGATTCCTTGTTTAGCTTTAAATGGGATGTTATATTGTTTACAAGTTTTCTTAATCTACAGATTTTAGTGTGTCTGTTATCTGAACATCATTTTGCTATTCAGCTGTGATAATAAAAATTTAATTCCTCAGGTTAACCCTTATACCATGGATTAAAACCATGAATAAACTCCTTAGGAAGGACTAAGTGCTGCAAAGTAGTATTTTCATGAGCACATTGCCTCATTCCCTTAGAAACAAGCGGGAGCTTTTCAAATGGTTTTCAACTTTGATCTAAGGTATCTAAAATAGGGTAATTTGTAAGCTGAGATAATTGTATGTTCTGTTTAGAATGTCCTGGTTAAGTTTTACAAAAATACCTGTATTCTTTCAACTAAAAATTAAACTTTTTCTGCTTTCTTTTGCCTCT